TCTCTCTCTCTCTCTCTCTCTCTCTCTCTCTCTCTCTCTCTCTCTCTTTCTCTCTCTTGTCCTCAGATAAACTGAAACTAGAAGACAAGGACTCCATCCTGAAACCGATCCCAGTGGTCACAGCCAAACCAAAGCAGGAGCGCAAGCACCAGACAACCACAGCCATCCCTGCTGTAAACAGTAGGAGCAATTTAAAGCTTTTCTTATGAGAAGCAATCAGTTATATTCTCATAATGCCTGGATTATTATACACACAAGAACAAAATAATCTGGAGTTTTGCATGCACAAGAAGGTGAGCAAGATATTTGGGTAAAGGTGCACATGTTGTTAGATCAAATTTTTAGTATCAAGAGTCTTTGTGCAGGCCAGAGCAGGTGCTGGGCTCGCTTGCTGGAGTCAGCGGCCCAGGGCTGTAAAATAAGAGGACGTAGAGAGCTGCCAGGGAGTGCTGGCAACATCTGACTAACCCCACCTCCTCCTCATTGTTTCTCTTTCAGGCAGCCGCTTTGACATGCATGAAAACTCGTCCATATTCAGACCCCTGCCTGCATCTGAGGTAGACATCATGGGCAAAAAACGTTTTGTTGGTAAGATTTCATCATTTTCTCGCCCGTCTTATAATCCCTGAGTTTGCTGTGTTTCAAATCAAAAAAATTCTTCTCGTGTCTGCGTGCAGCTCCACATGTCATCTACAAGACAGATAAGAAGCCAGATGAGCCATGCTCCATCACTTCCTCCATGGCTTACTTCCCTGATGAGGAAGGCAGCGATCAGAATGTAACCGGTCCTCCCCGGACAGCGCCGTCCAACCTCACTGTGGTTACAGTGGAAGGCTGCCCGTCCTTCGTCATCCTCGACTGGGAGAAATCTGATAATGACACCAGAGGTACAGAGTGGAGACACAAAAGACTGACAGGGGTGTGCCTTATTAAGTAAACTTCATTCATCCAGCTAATCTGGGTCACTGAGACTTTTAGGTTTTTTAAATACATTTTTGATTATTTTAGATTACATTTTAGATTATTATTATAGATTATGTGAAGCAAAGCGTGTTAACTGTTTGTGTACCAAAGAAGTCAAAAGATGTTATTTTTGTTGCTGGTGTTGAAATTAGCAATATTTGTTGAACCAAGCCATTGGTACACAAGTAACTAAAATCCAATTCCAAGTATATATAATCCACACAGACAGTTTAGGATCTTTCAGAGTTCTCCTCYCAGTGGAATGTGCACAAAAACCTCCAGAGGGAGGAGCAGCATCTCGACTCTGAGCTCCACCTAGAAGATGATGGAGCTCCTCACATAACCTCTAAAGCTGAGCCTGGCCGCCTTGTCCAAGTCCTAACAAAATCGCAATACAACATAACAGCTGTAATTACATTTTAGCAACACATTAACACCTTACATTCAAAAACAAATCCAATCAAGATTTTATTCCCCCCCTTAATGACGTTTTATATGATAATTGTGGAAAAAGCAACTTATAAATTAGGTTGAAGAATGGATGCATTTATGAACTTTAAAAATAAACTCTCTAATTCTCAAGCTTTGAGTTTGAATTGGAACAAAATGAAAAAGGGTTCAGCCTACCATTTAAAGCATGACAACTTTGAAGTTTAAAAAATGTCATAATTTTACTCCATTTCTTAAATCCCAGACATTAAATGGTGTCACTCTGATCAACAGTCTGGTAGAAGTGGTGGGCGGCACTAATATAAAAATTTGTTGTTGCAATATAACCACAAATTACTAACTCAGATTTTTAGGTCCCCTAGTACTAAWGCACTAATGCACTGAAAATGTTAGTAAAAGCTAACTCAAAAGCACTAATAAAACCCAGTCAACAAATGGAACATCCTTCCAAGTCAACATCCACATATCCATCCACATATTGCTATGTTGCATGCCTCATCATTGACATTTCACAGCGTTACATGTGTCCATGTAGGGAGATAATTTGTGAAACAGACCTTTAACTCATGGTGGCAATTAAACAGTTGCTGAGGATCTCTAGCTCTCTTGCTTGTTGGTCATTTTCCTATGTTTATGGTAGGGCTTCAGTCACTAATCAGGAAATTAGTTCCCCTATYAGTGCTTTAAGGGAACTGTGCCCACCACTGTCTGGTAGAAATGGTCAGAGCTGAAATATGAAACTGCCTGAGTACGATTTGTTTCTCTTGTCTGTCAGAGTATGAGGTTGTGTCCATAACCACCGGACCACATGGGAAAGAGGTGTCCATCCTGATGACCAACCAGACGCACACAACTGTGGAGAATCTCACACCAGAAAGCAAGTATGAAACAAGACATTATGATGGGATCCATTTTCCATATGGCTGCAGCTGGCAGGTTTAGGTTATGATACTAGTAATGCTGGAGAGGATAATCTATGGTTTTTAGAACCAAACMAGTGGCTAATCACATTAAGGTTCAGAGTTGTGCTTTTCAGGAGAGCATTATTAAAGAGCACAGCAGAGTTGTTGGTGTTCTGCTTTTAAATATTTTTTTTTCTTTTTTAGCATTTCTGTGTGCAACACGTGCAGTGAGTCATGTATTTGGTTTTGCACAGAAAGGAAAAGGAAAGCCCAGACACACAAAAGTTGAGGAACTGTGGGTGGAGATGAAGTGGGTCACTCAGTTTTTAATTAAATGTCAGCATCTGTAGTTTGGAGACTCACCAGGACCCTCCCATGGGCAGCGGGCTGAGCTGGACAGGCCAACACATCTGAATTCAGCACGTGGAATATCCATCAGCTGTGTGTGTACTTTGTTTTATGACCTTTTTAGGATCTTTTCTGGGATAATCACTGACCTTGTCAGGACAAGTGGCCCTTATACAGTAAGAGACCAAAGTCTGGTCCTCAAGCTATGGTTCATTTTGTTGTGGGTTTAGAGTTAAAGTGTGGATTAAGTTGGGATACASTTAGGGTTAAGATCTGGGTCAGGCCATTGCATGCTCACGACCACACACAAACAGGTCTTTAAATCCTGGGTTTTCTGGTTGGTCACTGTTTGAATGGTATGTGCATTTGTGTATGTATATACAGTATGTATGTATGTATGTATGT